CGTACAAAACAAAAATAATCAGTAAATTATCATAGAGATAGTAAAAACTTAAACCAAAACAGGAAATTGATGTTAACCTTTGACCTCATGTTCCGCCTGTGAACGAGTGAAAGGTAGAGCTAGCGGTAAGATGGATCGGGTTTTGTTGCCCACATTTCCACGGGTTCAGTCAGACATGAATGAATGTTTGGAAGTGATCTCAGACCCACAAACACCTACGGATCTGGATGAAGAGAGTCAACCCTCAACCGCCGCAGCAGTCCAGGGTTTAGTCGCTGGAAACGCTAACGCTAACGTTAGCTAACCTTGCAACACTCTGGATGGTTTTCTGTGTAAATGGCCTGTATTTGATATAGCGCCTTCTAGAGTGCTGGAACCCCCCCCAAGGCGCTTTACAAGACAATCAGTCATTCACCCATTCACACACACATACACACACTGGTGGGGATGAGCTACAATGTAGCCACAGCTGCCCTGGGGCGCACTGACAGAGGCGAGGCTGCCGAGCACTGGCGCCACTGGTCCCTCCGACCACCACCAGCAGGCAATGTGGGTTAAGTGTCTTGCCCATATGTGGGCTGTATGTGTTTATGATTTCGTGGAAAAGTCAGTGATTGTTCATATGTTTATGATGTGTATAAATGATTGTTTCAGGTGTTGTTGAGGTGTTGTGCACGCATGTGTATCTGCTAGTGTTGAAGGTGTTGTAGAGAACAATAGGCACGCATGACCACTTCCTGCATAGCGCCCCTCAATAAAAAGACTAGCTCCTTCATAGCACCTGCAGAGACACATTCTGGAGCCGCCACGGGGGGGGGGGGGTTGTTGAAGATTCTTTTTTGGATTCTGAAATCTTTTATCGTATTTTCTGTGAAGGGTCTGATTTTAAATGTATGTATTTGAATGTTAAATAACGTCCAAAATGCCTGAATTGTCAAAATATTAAAAAATCGGGATGAAATCGTGATCATGATTTAGCAAAAAAAACTAAATCGTGATTTTTTTTTCCATATCGCCCACCCCTAACTGGCTGCAAATCTAGATTTTTATTTATAAATTCCTGAAAGAACCTAAAATATAAGGCAGAAGTACTCAATAGGCCCCTCTTTGTGGCCCCTGAACCCCGCGCGCCCAGCCCTACTTCAACATGAAATCAATAATGGAAAAATCTGATCTTCATGATCTAACTGTCTCTGAAACCCAAAGCTGCATCTTACCTTATGCAGATTTCCTTTGGAGTCTCCCAGAAAGGCAATGGTATGTCCCACCTTCATGCTGACAGCCACAGCAGTAAGGCGGGCCGATGGACTATCCAGTATCGTCTCTACTTCCACAGCAACTCGACTGGCCATCGGACTGGGAGTGTGGTCAGAGCCACATGAGTAGGCATCCAGAGTGTTCTAATGAAAGAAATGAAGTCAAAGCCTGTCAATGCTTCATCCAAACCCAGCCATCTCTTAAACAAAGACCCTCAAAGTGATCAGTCATGTTGATTCTAAGCCAGTAGAAGAGCACATTTAGTCATCAAGACCAAGGACTCATAACTAGAAACATAACATGTGTGTGTAGATGGACTATACTGATAAAAAAGTTATTTGTGTGCAAGGACCAACAAAGTCTTCTGCTGATTTAAACAGCATGAAGCAGATTTCCAAAAAAATAATTACAACCTTATATAAATAATCAAGATTAATGTTTGAATCAGAGAATCGCAGGAAAGCTGAACAGCATAAAGCAAATATCACACGAACCCTAACACTGTTGGTTATGTTCACATCCACCAGGTGGCAGCGTAGCACTCTGTGCATACTACAAGTGTAGAGAAGAACAAGGCGTGTAGCTTCCACATGGATAAAGTGCATGCTTCTAACTAACCTCAAAAGTTCGTTAGCGAAGTGGATAAAAACATGAAGTTCTGCATCTTACAAGGATACATGAGAATGACAAGGATGTTGCTGCGCTGTAGCAATCTCCATGTGTTCCTACTTCACCACTAGATACATGGGAATGAATGTTCCGGAAGTACTTGATGTGTCGAGTGATGCCTGGCAGGCGTAGAATTAAAAAGTACTTCTACTGCATGTGCTTGGAACTGAGGGACGACGTATGTTTTACATGCTTCCATGCATTGAAAGCTCCCTTTAACCCAAAAGCTTCCTGAACATAAGTTTTTTCAGAACCCCCCCCCCCCAAAAATAACCTGAAAATATTCTGCAGTATGTGGCCATTTTCAGAAATTTTGCAACAGGGTTCTTGCAGGTTTCAGTTAGTTGAATTTAAGACCTTTATGAATGAAATTTAAGACCACCGTGACTCATAAATAGCCCAAGCCCATTTCCTTTATCAACTTTGTAATCAAATATTACATTTTCATTTATTAAAACTGAATAAAGATTAAAAGATTAAAATGCCATCAGTTGTCACACACAACCGAACAGTCACCTTCTCGACAAACCATCTCAAAACAACATTCTTTACTGTCAGTGTTGGGAAAGTTGGTTTTAAAAATGAACTAGTATATGGTGGTGTTTGGTTGATGTGTTAATCTCACACGAGAAGGGTATATTCTACTACCAAAGAAAACAGAAGTACATGTGTCTATTGTGAAGAGGAGCTGTCAAGGTGATATAGCAATAAGGAGTTGAGTGGAGAATAAAGTGCTGTTTTTTTGGTAACGAATACCTCCTCTGATCCTTCATCCATCTGCCAACTCCTACAATGGTGACCCCGACGTCGGACTATTGTTTGCTGATCGTACAACCTAGATGGGATTCTGCTGTTCTGTCCGCCGCTGAAGGGGATATGCTACCGGCTGTCGCAGCCGTTTCCCCCGCCGTCTTCACGGCATCTATCAAGCTGCCGGATTTTTGGCAACACGACCCAGAACTTTGGTTCCAACATGTTGAGGCTCAATTCCACCTCAGGGGATTAATTCAGATGACACGAAATTCTTTCATGTGGTCGCCACACTGGAAGCTGGTTCTACCCGCCGTTTAATGGGGCTGTTGCGGCAGCCTCCGCGGGCTAACAAATATGGTGTTTTGAAGGACAGTCTGCTCAGGATCTACCAGCTGTCAGAGGAGAAGAGAGCTGACCGCCTGTTCTCGTTTAATGATTTGGGAGATAGCAAACCGTCTGAACTGATGGAGAACATGCTGGCGCTACTTGGAACAGGTGACACTTTTCTTTTTAGTCATCTTTTCCTATGACAGCTACCGCCTGTTTTCTTTGCACTGCCTTGGCCAGCTCTGAGTTTCTGCGCTTTAAGGACTACCGAGCATTGGCTGAGGAAGCAGACAATATCATGCTGGCTTCCAGGGCGCATGGCGTTCACGCCATCATGCCGATCGTTCCTCGAACGCCAGCTGAGCCGTGTCAGAACGTGTCGGTGACAGCTGTGATGAAACACGAGAGAGGAAACGCTGGACTGTGTTTTTACCACCGCAAGTTTGGATCGAAGGCGAGACGCTGCATTCCACCCTGCTCCTTCCCCGACCAGGGAAACGGCAGAGCCGGCGCTCACTAGCAGCAGTCAACGCCGGCTCATCAAACGGGCTGCTCTTCCTGATGGACGCTTCTTCAGGACGACGTTTCATCGTCGATTCAGGAGCTCAGCGGAGTGTTATTCCAGCTTCTGCTGCCGACACCTGGTTTCCTGTGCATGGTCCCCAGTTGGATGCTGCAAATGGGACTCCTACCCGGACTTTTGGGACTCGGTTTATGACTCTCTGTTTTAATGAACACAGTTTCGAATGGGATTTTGTGATAGCCTTGGTTTCTGTACCTATTTTGGGTGCTGATTTCCTGTGTGCTTGTTGGTTGATGGTGGACATAGCTAACAGGTGTCTAGTTGATGCTGTCTTTTTGTGTGTGTGTGTGTGTGTGTGTGTGTGTGTGTGTGTGTGTGTGTGTGTGTGTGTGTGTGTGTGTGTGTGTGTGTGTCCTGTCTGGCTGTGAAGCAAACAGAATTGATGTCTGAATGCTGGTGACAAGCCTCTCAGGTGGTGCATCAAAGTGTCTGCTTTTAATGTCACGCCTGATATTTAAAACTTTATTGTTATTGGTTTTTGAATGCTTGTAATTCCGGCCAGACACGGAGACAGAAGTGAAAAAGAAAGGAAGAGACAAAAGGTGTGTGTGTGTGTGTGTGGGGGGGGGGGGGGGGGGGGGGGTCCACAGAAATAAAAAATCGATGATGAACAAGAGTCTGCTTCTAGACCTGCAGAACAGGGATAAACCACAATACAACAGGAGCAAGCTATCACTGCATCAACTTGATGAAGAAATATAAAAATCAACATTGTTTTACTGAACAATCACACATTAATAAATCACAGTGCATTTAGTGCCAACCACAGCCTTAAGACATGTGTTGAAAATGCCCAAGTCCATACTTACGAGAGCACCATGAGAGCACCTGTGTGTGTACACGCGCTTGTATATGTAAGGTTTCTCTATAGGAGAGTGCAATAGAGAGTGTGAGGGGCCACAGATCTGCCCCCAAAGATGTGTAGGAGATGGAGGGAGCTCCAAGTCCCAGAGATCCAGGAGCCGCCCCAGAGCACAGGAACCCAAGACCAGAAAAGCCCCTGCTCCCCTCGAGAGGTGCAGAGGATCGCCCCGGGGGGCTACAACCAGCAGCCGGCAAAGTTCCAGGAGATATCAGCAGCAAGCCCACAGGCCCACACGCAGCCTCCCAACCCCTAGCCGGCCGAGCCCCGGAACCAGTGACCCAGGACCCAGGGGCAACTGCCCCCACCGTGGACCCAGCAGAGCCCAGGGACCCAGATCCCACCAGGCAGCCACTGGGATTGATCAGGCAGACTCCAAAAATCTTAAACCTCCTGATCCGGGAGCCAAGAACACTCAGGCAGACCAAGGCACAACACTCCACACGAGGTGTGGCAGGGGGAGGGGAGACGAAGATGTATAGCATCAAAAGAAGTCCCAGGAGAAGGGAGGAGTCAAAGGCTCCACCTGATTTATACAGTCATACACAGACACAGTCACACACACCCTCCCTCATGCTCACACATACACATACAACCTAAGACTTACAAAAATGCACGCCGGACACCCACTCATGCTCCTCATACACACCCTATTCACTCTGGTCCCGGTACTGCTGCACAAGGGGTACAACCATCATGGGTTCCCAGAGTTTGACTCTTTCTGCTGGGGTGCTGATGAGCAGGCTCCCCTGCCCTACGTTGAGCAAAGCAACCCACCAGCCCAGACCCCAACCAGATAGCCAGATCTCCCTCCTAGCCTTCAGCCCCGGGAAGCCAAGCGAGAACAGAGGTGTGCTAAGACCACTAGTCTCCCTCCGCCCACTCCAATATAGTGTTATTGCGTGTTGATGAGGTTGTATTCCACGGCTGTGGTGAGCGGGCAGTGCGAGCATCGTCTGGCCTATGCCAGCTGATGCCACCACCCCACCCCACTTGCACCCACAACCCTATGTGTCTAAGTGCAGTTTAAAAGTGGAAGTGGGCACCGGCACTAGGGATGAGGCTGAAAAATCCCCCTGACAAATGCCGTTGAATGTGCTCACTCCCAAGGCCCTAAGTGTGTGTTTGTGTGGAATGTCGTTAGTGGAAGTGTTTAAAGTGCAAATAAAATTGGGGAGCAGGTTTCCACAGGAATGTGGAAATGAGGTCCATACCCGCACTCCCTGACTTGTCCACCCCCCAAGGTCCTATGTGCATGATTGTGTGATGATGTGAGGGAGCAGGAGGAAAAAAATGTGTGGGGATGAGGAGGAATGGCTGGTTGGCCTAAGCCCTCCAGGAAGCCAGCTCCCCCACTGGCCCCAATAGGCACCGCTGTTGCCAAAATGCCACCCAGGGCATGGAGACCCCAGCCCATCTTGCCAGGGCCCAAAGCAGCAGCATCACGGAGCTCACGGAGTCCGAGGGCCCCAACCCAGCCCCGCCCTAGCAGAATATCTACTCCCATCCCTGCATTTGCACAACTTCCAGAATATATAAGACATAGGACATCCAGGTAAGGTTCGGTCCTCCCCATCCTGGACATCCTCCTCCCCTGTGATGGAACAGCAGAGGAGCCAAGGTCTACCTGAGGCCCCTGAGCCCGGGCCAGGCACTGCCGCATGTTTCGGCCTTCTTCCCGGCAGCATACATGTCAGGACCCTATCCCCAAGGCCCCGCCCAGATCCCCACATGGGGCCAGCCAACCCCACAACCCGAGCCCCCAGGCCCCCACCCAGACCCGCTCAGGGGCAGTGCAGCTGCCAGGCAGCGACCCATGGCCACTGCCAAGACCTCCAAGGAGCTCCACTCACAAACGCCAGCAGTCGACCCCCGAGGCAACCCAAGCACTTCCAGAGAGGGGCAGCAGCCCCCCAGCCCCAGACACCCCCAGTGAACCCACCTCCAGGTAACATCTGGATAGTCCAAACTCAGACCCTCCACCCCATCACCCACATCATCCCGCAGGACAATATCAATGATCCCCCATCATTGCTATGTGATGGAACCGATCAAAGGAGCCCAGAGAGATTGATTTGAAGTGGAAGCAGAGACTATATCAAGTGTAATTTGATCTAACAAAAGATTTCTATACTGGTTAACGCAAAGAGTATCTCTATTTTTCCAATTCATGAGGATAGTTTTCTTAGCGATGCATATGGCAGTCAGAACCATGTGAGCCAAAGATGTTTCAATCGGGACATCGTCCAGGTTTCCCAGTAAACAAAGAATGGGGCGGTTGGGATATGACATTTCAGCCAATTTGACAGGTCTTCGCATACGCTACCCCAAAATTCCTGGACAGGTGGACAGGACCACAGTGCGTGAATGTAATTGTCAGGAATGTTGTTTGTGCAGTGTGTACAATCAATAACTTCATGGGTCATTACACACCAGTCATCAATTCATTTCTTGACATATGGGGTCATTAAAGGTCATATCACAAAAGGTCATAAAACAATACACCTGTCAAGGTTGACGTAAGGTGGTTTGGGGGAAAGGTCATAAAGGTCAAGGAACAATAGACCTGTCAAAATTTTTGACAAAGGGTGGTTTCTTCATCCCTCTTACCACATCTGATCACAGGATGCCATTATGACTTCATCCATATGAATTGCACCTTTAATTACTCATTATTTACCATGAAAACCAGTAAATATCACTCTTGTGTGAAGCTGTTACCCAAAAGCAGATTTCAGATTAAATGACTAATAAATAATACTAAATAGTAATAATAATAATAATAAGCTGTTATTCTCTTACCTGTGGAAGGTTGGCACAGTTAGACTTCACTTCATATTCAATATACGCTGCCTCGACTCCTGCTTCTCTCCCCATTTGTGTGTAGCACAGGTCTCTGGTGGAGTTAATTCTGTGGTCCACATCTTTTAAGTTAAACATGCAGAGAGCCGAGTCCTCACTGGGAGCAGCTGATGAAGCCACATTTGTGGAGAAGACTCCAAGAAATATGTCTGAACTGAGACTCCCAGTACCATCCGTGGAGGACCCAAGCTGGACAGCTTGCAAAAGGTTGTAAATTTTACCTGTCCTGGAACGACAGGTCAAAGGCACTTCCACATATGAGTAATAGGCTTGGTCACCTAAACATATACGTGAGATATAGGTACGGTACTCTCGGGACTGCGACTTCAGGTCCCGTCTGTAGAAAAGGAAGTACACATGGTGACTGTGAGCAAACGCAGCAACAAAATGATGGTCGTATTCTGACAGTCGGCCAGCAACAGCCAGTTTTGCGGTCTCCTCATAGGAGAAGATGGGTTCCTCAGCAAGGTTTCGCGTGGAAATAGGTGGATGGCTGTTTGTATAACCACGTCCAACAAATAGAACCGGCTGTCTGTCAAGATGAGAATGAACCACAATCCCAACCGTGCTAACATTAGGGTGGTTAGCTGCCACATACTGGGTGTCCACCGGCCTTTCAGTGGAGAAAAGTATTTTGTTAATCAAATTCAGGTCACGCTTCTGGCAAATTCCTTGGTTGACACTCCCACAGGTGATGAGCTCCTCAGAGTCCAGGTTAATGAGAAGAAGCTTATTGTGGTTGTTAGTCTTCTTCGCTTGAGGGCAGTTGCTCTCTGTTACAGGGGGCAAGCAGTCCTGGCTGTCTGTGACAGGTCCAGTCTCCTCCTGAAGGTTAGGAAGGAGGAACTGGTTTAACTGGAACAAAAGATCTTGGGCACCAATATAGACCCAACCCACACTGGGATCCGGATGGAGGGCAAGGTGCTCAAATACTGTATCATTCCTTATAAAGGTGGGAAAGTTAGCCAGGGATGGCTGCGATGCTTGGACAACAGCACTGAGGGATAAGCTGAAGGGCCAGCCACCAGCTATAAGCACGAGACAGATTCGTGTTTGGATCATTACCACTGAGGGATGAAGCCTTGTCCCAGGAGGCATGGCTTTAGACCTGCAGAAAGAAAACGGGTTTAAAAACCAGACTATGAGGCTGTAGATATGTTCAGACAACAACAAGGCTAAATAACTGTAATAACGCATAGTTTATTCCTCTAAAGCTCCATCAGTGGGAAAAGGAATCAAAGACAGTTTTGTTTTTTACTTGAATAATTGACTAAATGGTTTAAAAAGCATCAGGTTTAGTGACGCTTAATGATTTCTTACCATTTGTTTTTTTTACAGTTCCTTTACAGAGGTATGTGACCTCTTGACCTGACAGCTTCAGTTAACAACACATCCTTCTGGATATCACCTGCAGCACAAAACACATCTTGAACAGCTCAAACTGAAATATGAATCAACTGTACAGGGTTAAACAGAAAACACAGAATCATACTTTGATTCACCAAACATGTTCAGAAAGAACTTTTCAACTTGGTTCAACTCATTGTAATTCTACTTTTCTAATTAGAGTTGGCGTTTGATCAAAACGCTGCAACAGAATTCACATTGGCGCTCTGCCAGATCAGATTAGTTGGGGTAAACCTGTGAGTGTCCAAATAGCAGAAACGCTCAACATTTTTGTAGGAAAATACAATAAACAGTCCAAACTGATACATAACATGTTTAACATGAGGTATCTGAACCATAATTGAGGGATTTACATTTCAGTGGTGAAAACAAAACCCATTGCTCACTGCTGCCAACTAGTGGTCAGGCATTTGAAATGCACCAAAAGAAAGGAAAATACACAAATGTTTGCATGTGAATTCTTCCAAAAATTCGATACACAACTTTTGAATATCAATATAATATTGCAAAACAAGATATCATGATGTATTTGCCATATCAATATTTTCTTATATCCCTGTTAACCACTACTGCAGATGTCTATTAGGGGGAGCTCCTCATGAGTATGAGCTAAAAACACCTGGTGAAGAAGAAGAACACCAGGGACAATATGGCGGAGTTGAAGCCTAGTGAACTAGACCAAATTGTTGCTTTGCAAAGTTTGGTCTAGGAATGTTCCACTGGAACCTCTGCAGCCCCAACAGCATTCTGGCTGGCCAATCACAGTTCTCTAGACGGGTTTCAAACACATAAAGAGCTGTGATTGGTCCATAATGGTGGGCCAATCATAGTGCTCTATCTGCTTAGTGAACAAATCACAGAGCTTTATCCGCCTTGTGGGCCAATCAGGGCACTCTATATGCCTGGTGGGTGGGATGATGCAACAGAGTGAAACAAGAGTACCGTAAATCCTCTAATATTGGCCTGTATTCAATTAACGGCCGGGTATCATATTTTGGCCGGTGTCGGAGTCGGCAGAGGTGAATAATGGCCGGTATTTAATTGTGGCCGGGTGGAATGTGGTAACAAGCAAGTACCACAGGGGAGCGGTTGAGTCATCCGTCTCACTTTTGATTTGCCAGTGACAGACCGCGATTTGGCAGGTGCAGAGACGAAGAGGAGGCAAAAATTTGATATCAAGTTCATAGAGAACGTGCTGATTATGCTGCAGAACACTGGGGAGCAGTAGCAGGGGTTGTATGAACTAGTCGACTTCACTATAGTGACTTGTTATGCCTGTCATCGACTAGTCGCTGTCATGTGATAATGACCGGCAAGATGCAGCCCTCAGAAAAGACAGCAGCCTGCTGTCAGCAGGTGACAAGCTTCTGTGCGTCGGGGGGGGGGGGGGTCAACGCGCTGTGCCAGAGTGTCAGCACTGACACCCGCCGTAAAACGGACATTTAACCAAATTGTGACCTTTTCCCTCTTGCAATTTAACCTTCCTCTCACCCCCATCCTAACCTTAACCAGCTTGCGCATGCAAAGCTCTGTAAACACTTATACAAATTTCTCAGAGCTGGTTGGTCAAAGTTTATAAACAAACATTTCATTAAAGTGAACTCACTTCCTATTTTAACCAGTTCTGCCAGAGCTCTGAGTTCAGCCAAATCTCACAGCTCATGCTTTCAAGCAGATCACAGAATACCTCTCTCAAAACTGTCTGCTTGACCCTTACCAATCTGGGTTCAAAAAGGGCCACACCACTGAAACTGCTCTGTTAGCAGTGACGGAATCCTTAAAAGAAGCTAGAGCGACTGCCAAATCCTCAGTGCTTATCCTGCTCGACTTATCAGCTGCATTTGACACTGTCAACCATGGCTTCCTTTTGTCTACACTCTAGCATGGGCATCACAGAGAAAGCACATGCCTGGTTTGAATCGTACCTCACAGGAAGATCATTCAGTGTATCTTGGCTTGGACAATCCTCTACCGTGCACCATCTTGCCACAGGAGTCCCCCAGGGCTCTGTACTAGGACCTCTTCTCTTTGCCATATACACCACCTCACTGGCTGAGATCATTCGATCACATGGCTTCTCCTACCACTGCTATGCAGACGACGCCCAGCTCTATCTGTCATTTCCACCGGACGACCGCACTGTCTCTGCACGAATATCAAACTGTCTCTCTGACATATCAAAATGGACGAAATCCCACCATCTCCAACTCAACCTCTCTAAAACTGAATTACTTGTCATCCCAGCAAAACCATCCATACAGCACAATATCTCAATCCGAAATGACTTCTTATCTCTGGCTCCTTCAAAGGCAGTTTGAAATCTGAGTGTTGTGTCTGATGAACACCTGACCTTTAAAGATCATGTTGCCTCTGTTGCTCGTTCATGCCGCTTTGCGCTGTATAGCATACGAAAGATCAGACCATACCTAACACAACATGCCACCCAGCTCCTGGTGCAACCTACTGTCATCTCCCACCTTGATTACTGCAATGCCCTTCTAACTGGTCTTCCAGGCTGTACTGTGAGACCTCTTCAAATGGTCCAGAATGCAGCGGCGCGTCTGGTCTTCAATCAGCCAAAAAGAGCACACGTCACCCCTCTGTTCATTGAGCTCCACTGGCTACCGCTAGCAGCACACACCAAATTCCAATTGCTAACACTAGCATACAAAGTCCGAGATGGTACGGCTCCCATCTACCTGAATCCTCTTGCAAAGGCTTACGTCTCGGCCCGGCCCGCTCCGGTCATCACAGGATGGTCGGCTAGCAGTGCCTACACCACGCTCAGGACAATCCAGACTCTTCTCATGCATCGTTCCACAAATGTGGCATGACCTTCCAAACACTACCAGAACTGCGGCTTCCTTTTCAATTTTCAAGAAACTCCTGAAGACCCTGCTCTTCAGAGAGCATCTTCAAAACTAGCACCATCCCTGCGCCCCCCTCCCCCCCCCCCACCACCACCACCACCACCACCACCACCACCACCGTCCACTCCTTTGTTCCCTCATTGCAATGATTGATGTCAAGTTGTTGTTATTGTTAGCCTCAAGGGCAACATGCCGATTATCACTTGTAGGTCACTTTGGACAAAAGCGTCTGCTAAATACATAAACATAAACACAAATGACCATCCTACCAGAAATCAAACAGATTTTTCAGTGGAATTATTTTAGTGGCACATGAACCATCCTTTTGAATCAACAGTTATTATTTGCTCAATCCACCATCCATCCAAACAAACAGCCAAATTTATTTTATAAACCCAGACATCACACCTTTCTGAGTCACTTAGAAAAACTCTTAAAACATACAAAGCCAGGTTTCATCTGAGTTAGTTCATTGTCTCATCACTGTGAATCACCATTCATAATCATTTGCCTTTCATCATCATTAATATAGTAATAAATAGATTTTAATAAACTATATTTTTGTCTTTTTTCAAAATGATTATAAAGTGTTGTTTCCCTGGCATACCCAAAGTACCTAGTTTCATCATCAATTGAATATCAAACGTGATAATTCATATTTTTATGGAAAATTAAATTTTATTAAATACCTTTATTTTCTATTGACAAGTTATTAAAAGTAACCTGGTAATAAGTTATACGAATGTAATATTTATACATCTGATACAATTCAGATCACCTTCAAAACTCAGTCACACACCCAGGGCCGTTTCAAGGCATTTTGGGGGTCAAGGCAAAACGGAACAACCAAACCGGTGTTTTGATGATGAACGACACACTTAGAACATGGCAGAAGCAGAAAGGCCAAAGAAAATGAAAACGTCAAAAGTGTGGGAGCACTTTGTGTTAAACAATGCAAAGACCTTTGTCACCTGCAATATATGTAAATCAAACATGGCATGGCATGGGAGTATGACGGTCAGGATGCAACATCTTAAACGCAAGCATGTCGGAGCCATTAACGAGGGAGGGGAGAGCCCAGTGTCCAGGTAAGTTCTGAAAAAACTAGTTTTATTTTTAAAGGGTAATAAACTCACCCCTAGACCCAGATTAATTAAAATCATAAGCGCTACGCTGATTAGGTAAACACAGTGGTGTTCTCATTTACCCGCCCAGCTACGAACCGGTTCTAGTGCATAGACAGAACTAACGGTGTGTCTGAATCCACGGGAAGGATGCTTGTAAGAGTGCATTTTGAGGTTGATGACGTCACAGCGCAGCGACAAGTACTGTCCGAATTACAAGAATACTCATTCTCGCGTCCTCAAATGCGTCCTCGCTCCGCCCACATTTCGAGGATGGGTCTGTTGTATCCTCACAGAACAAGGCTATCCCAGCATGCTTTGCGCGCCGGCTGTGGATTTTCAACAGGAAGAGAAAATGGGGAGAGCTATGAAGTTTTAAACGTAAGTTTGTTAAAAACTAGCCATAGAAACCTAAAAAGCTTAAAGCGGTTCTGTTTATAAACATTTTTCGTTTGTTTATTTGTTTTTTAAATTACATTTTAGGCGGAAATCAGCCAGAACGAGTTTGTTTCGCAGGTCCCAGTTATTCCCGTGTGTGTGTGTGTGTGTGTGTGTGTGTGTGTGTGTGTGTGTGTGTGTGTGTGTGTGTGTGTGTGTGTGTGTGTGTGTGTGTGTGTGTGTGTGTGTGTGCAGCAAATTAAACTTGTCATTTGTTTTAAGGACAATGGAGCAAAGACGCGTTTTTATTAAGGTTAGAGGTGAAGAGTGAAGCTGTTTACACACAACCACAGAAGTTCTTCTGTGAAAAGTAGTTTTACATTCAGGGATTTACACAGCTGACACATTTTAATGAAGTAAAAAGTTTGTGTGAAGACTATAATTTTTATCTTCTCATGTGGATAAATGTATAAATGTGTTTCTGTGGTCTGATTTTCTCTGTAGGACTGCAGGTGTCCAGGGTCAGGAGAGGCTTTACCTGGTGGTCCTCCTGGGAGAGAGGCCTTCTACTGTCATCATGTTAATGTTGTTTAGCTGTTTGATATTTGAACACATTTATTAAAACAAAT